TGTGTGTGTGTGTGTGTGTGTGTGTGTGTGTGTGTGTGTGTGTGTGTGTGTGTGTGTGCAAAACCTTTTAGTCCAACTTATCAAGTCCCTACAAGAGGTTTACAATCAGGGCAATAGCCTAACTTCACTGTCAAACTTGAAACAAGACCCTTTCTTAATATAACAAACAGTGGGGGAAACAAGTATTTGGTCAGCCACCAATAGTTCAAGTTCTGCCTCTTAAAAAGATGAGAGGCCTGTAATTGACCTCATAGTTAGACCTCAACTATAAGAGACAAAATAAGAAAAAATCCAGAAAATCTCATCGTCTGAATTTCTAAGTATTTATTTGCAAATTATGACTGGGACCAATGTAACAAAGGCTACCATAAGTAACACACTACGCCCCCAGGATTCCTGGGTCCTTCAGTACCGGACAAGTCTCCCCGTTAAAACCAGTACATATATACATATCCAGGCCCGTCTGAAGTTTGCTAGAGAGCATGTGGATGTTCCAGAAGAGTATTGGGAGAATGTCATATGGTCAGATGAAACCAAAGTAGAACTGTTTTGTAGAAACACAACTCGTGTTTTGGAGGAGAGTGAATGCTGAGTTGCATCAAAGGAACACTATACCTATACTGTCAGTGGTGGGCAGCATTTATTCAAAAATTAGGTCCACAATTTCTAAAGCGCTAGTTATGTAGTTCTGCATGTTCTAAAGCACTCATGTTATAATTATGTCAATGGAAGCTAAATAGATCCACAAAATTGGTTCAATTCACTAGAATTTACATGTCCAGTAATAACATGAGCCATTCTTGCACAATACTTAATTTTCAGTTTTTCAAGATATTTATTAGTTCTCGACGGTGTTTTTTTTTTTTTTTTTTTTTTTTACAAACAAATTTTCTTGCATAACACTGTCATGAAGTGGACAACAAAGCTGCTTTCAACCCATACCACAATTGTTGCGGTTTGAGGAAGTGATTTATAGAAAGAGACATTTGACTCATGGTGTTAAAATAAAAAGTTGTTGTGGACTGTAAGTTCTGCTGCTTCTTGGTCATTTTTCTTATATTTATGGTAGGGCTTCCGTAAGAAAGCATGCAATATAWTAGTCATTTTAAACTGTTTATTGGAGAACTGAAGCGATGCATTCTGGGTAAAGGACCAAGTAAAGGAATCCATCCACTTCAAAATAAGAGCGTGAATTTAAACTGCACCCTGCTTCAATACAACGTGAGACAGTGGGTTGGTGGTTGAAGATGCAGCGTGTCATAAATTKTTATAATTCCTCCCTCTACCCTCTCAAAGCTCATATAAGTATATAAACAACAATAATTATGGGTGGATTGTTGGGGAAACTTTTATTTACTTTTTTGTTAACGGTGGTTCTAGTAAAAAAGACGTGGAAATTATCTGAACAGGAATAAACCAGCTGTAGCTCTTTTAACAACTGGCCTCAGAAAAAAAAAACATTTTAAACAAATAACATCAATTAAAAGCTGCTGGTGCCTTTCCTCAAGTGTCCCTCGCTGTGTGTGTGTGTGTGTGTGTGTGTGTGTGTGTGTGTGT